CCACTCGGCTCCGCCCCTCGGCGTCCGCCCCGCCCGGGTGCAGGGCTCCCGGACCGCCCAGTCCACTGGGTGCCCAGAGAAAGGAAGACTTGAGCTGTGTTGCGTCGATTCCTGTATGCTCTCTTATCACTTAGCTGTAACTTCCTGCTTAGCTTGCCTTGTTAATACCCTGGCCTACATATGGCTAAAATAAAGGATTTCTTTAAATTTACACGCTTGGGGCAGATTTTGACTGAAGGCGTTTTCCCGAAGTAACTTCTTCTTTGGTAACTTACAACCCGAGTAACTGCCAGTCCCTGAAAAACGTTTAAGTGGTACCGAAATTCATTCCACAAATATTTTGTATCTCCCACGAGCAAGGCACATGCTAGACCCTGTAGCATAAAGATAAATAGTGGTGTGAGTGAATATTTGCAAAGCACTTAGAACAATTCCTAACAATAAATACCCTTCCTGTATGTTACATGAAGTATACATGACAGGGCCGGGGATTCAGCTCAGTGGTGCCGGCCGCCTGCCTCACAAGCGGAAGGACGCTAGTTCGATTCCCGGTACCAAAAAAAAAAACATGAGGGCTCCCTCCAAGGGGCTTACAATGTAATCGGAGTGACAAGACTAATGGAAACTTCCTTATACTTTGTAAAAAGCACAATTAGGGAATGGGGGCTTACTGCTTCATGAGTACAATGTTTCAGTTTTGAAAGACAAGAAAAATATATGGCGTGCATGGTGGTGGGCATGGATGGTGATGATGGGGGCCCAACGATACTAATGTACTTAATATCACTAAGCTGCATATTTTTAATGGTTAAGGTGGTAATTTTATGTTTTTACACTTCACAATAAAAATATAGGGGAAAAATACAAGGAAATATACATGTGTAGAAGCAATAAACATTCAGGGGTTGAAAGAAACAGTATCTTTGGATTGGAATAATCAAATAATTCATTTAGGTGAGATATTATTAGGTGATGAGTTCTTATTTTGGAAAACCTGAAGTTAGTAATACAGTGCACTGACCCTTGACTTACGAACTCGATTGGTTCCCGGGGACTGGCTGTAACTCAAGGTGGTTATAAGTCCATAGCTGAGATTTGGATGTTTACCTGGGTACACACTATAGATAACAAGAGGTAGATGAATCTTCCATTGACCTAATTTACCCAAGTTGTTCGTATGTATTTTTGCCACTATGATCTGTCTATCTGTTCACTGCATGAAAACTCACCTTCAAGGAGACATGCTAATCACAAAATGTTATTATTGACGATTCTAATGAATGGTGTCTTCCACTTCGGTGACGTCCCATTTAAGCAAATACTACTGATACTGAGCCTAAGAAATGGCTGGTAATTACTTTAGATGTATTGCTGTTCCATGTTTCGCCTGAAATCATAAAGGGAGCACATGTTGAGTTCTACCTACTAACAATAACTGTCTACAGTTAATATCATTGGGCTGACAAGAAAATAGTTTACTCAGCTGATACTCATGTATCAATAAATTATATACTATGAACTAAAAAGCATCAAAGAGCAGTTTTTCTGTGTATTTGCTGATGCACACAAAGTTATGAGGAACCTATCCATTTTCAGAAACTCACAATTTTATACCTAGGTAAGGAAAAATTATTCTTTTTTCCTTTGACTCATATCTTCATTTACCTGTGGATGTGTGAGGGGAAATGATAATTACTTACTTTTAAAACCAAAATGTACCACTGTCAAATTTTTCGTGTTTTTAAATAAATTGCCACTGAGTTAGCTCTAGTGATCTCAGAATTTCGTTTTAGTCATATTTTCCACACAGGATGCTTTTTTACTTTTAATTAAATGCAAATTACTTGGTAAAGCCCTGGACACTTTGAATACCCCATTTCAAAACCAAGATTTGAATGTGTTTTCTTAGTTAATTTATGTTTACATAACTCATAGTAACCCTGGCACTCAACACAATCTTTAAAAATGCTCCCAGGGAATGTTTCTGTGAGAAAAAAAAAAAAAATTTGTCTATGGTTTTGCCACTTTATGGGAACAGAGCAATGAACGGGGGCTGTAACGTGAAATAAAATGCTAATTGGTACTTTTGTGGGTTTTAAATGGTTACTGTAGGCCTGAAAAATAACAGCAGAAAACAAGTAAAATGCTGGAATGTTCGCAACCTGTTAGACATTGAGCAACAGCACTTTCAACACCTTTCGCACACACCTCTCTCCCCTGTGGGACCTGGGGACTCAAGTGGCTCTGCAGCCGCCCAGACTGTTCAGTAAGAGGCTCAGCTCTACGCAAACTGCCGCCCCATTCCCTTCCACCCACCCTTTCCTTGTCTCCCTTTGGTACTCATGTTTCTTTTGCTAGTGACTCCATCTCCAAGTTACTATTCCCTAACCCCCTTCACGTAATATTTCCTGACAAGAGCCTTGGCCAGCTTTCCAGCAACTCGCCTCAGAAGCCAAATTCTAGCTTCCTCACAGGGACGCAGCGTTGGCGCCTGTTAGGGTCGGTCCATCCACACCCAAGGCTTGATGAAGAAGAAGAGGGTCTCTCACTTCACTACAGCTCACACAGCCTAATTCTGCTAATTTGTCTACTCAAACCTACTTGTTTTGGACCTGGTATTTCCTACCAATTCCTAGTGGCCATAGGAAAATGAACATAGGTAAACACGTTTGCTGACTTCATAAAGTTAACCTATAAAAATAATTTTCTAACCCTTGATTCAAGGCTAGAAAAAGAATACAGCATAACTTTTCCCAGACATGGTTTGGTTTTGGTTTTTGTTTTTTTGTTTGTTTGGTTTTGTTTTTGTTTTTGTTTTGGTACTGGGGATTGAACTTGGGTCCTTATACTTATGAGGCAGGTGGTGGAATCACTGAGCTACATCCCTGGCCCTTGCCTAACTTTTAATGAGGGTTTCACAATACTTAAATACTGTTATGTTTATATAAATCATAGAAGAAAACTTGGTGCTCTGATTTGACAATATATGTAAATTTTGCACATAGCATATGTTACAGTGGAAAGTTCAATGAAAAACAAGGAAAATTAGGTTATTCAATCTTTACACCACCTAAGCTATATGATTAATCAGAAAATATAAGAACTACAAAAGAAATTACTAGGCCAGGCATCGTGGTGCACGCCTAAGGCAGGAGGATCCCTGTGATTTCGAGACCAGCCTGGACTACATAGTGAGTTCCAGGTTAATCTCAACTACATGTGAGACCCTGTCTCAAAAAACCAAAAAAAAAAAAAAAAAAAAAAAAAAAAAAAAAAAAAAAAAAAAAAAAAAAAAA